AGTCAGTTGAATTACCCAACTTAATATTCTCTGCACAAGAGTACTTGCTGGCAAACCCTTTTCATTTGCAAGGTGCCAGCTTAAACCCAACAACTTTCAACTGATCACTTTCCCTCACACTCAGGTACACGTGACAATAAAATCAGACCACTTTAGATTAAAATGCTTCATTAAATGGATGTGGACAAGACATAGATTACAGGGAAGAGGTTATTATGAAATATCCTATCTACACTGGGCCATTGTCCAAGAGTGGCCAAAAGTCTGCAAGGTATAAAAATAAGCAAGAATTTGTTCATTTTGGCGTTGTGCATTTAAAACAGCATGGTTGTGAAATTACGTTCAGTGGGTTTTTGTGAGCACATACTTCTGGAAAAGATCCTAACCATTTCTGAAGTGATATTATAGAACTCCCTGCATTTATCAAAGGCTTATGTAGTGTGAACAATGGAAGTCTCTCCCTGCTTGAGGATACTTTGGGATACCAAATATTAGAGGCCTGGTGGAGAGATAACATTCCGAACCTCCAAACTATGGCTATCAGTCTCTTCCCCAAGTTCAACTGCATTTAGAGCTAAGAATAGATGTGGGGGCAGGTAAACGTTTGTTCCATCTTGAGACTTAGACCCCCAGCTTTAGAGAGCTGATCAAACAGACCCCCCACCTACAGCCAGGTTGCAAGCCCATTAGTTCACTTCCTCCCTATCAGCTGGGAGCATTAGCCCGCTTAAAAGACCAAATATGGACCATAAAGGCCAAGCGGCACCCAGCAGGGAGACCACTTTGTATAAATCAGGAGGAAGGGGGTAAGGGAGTTGAAGGAGACAGGAATAGACTTTGTCTGATGAACAGGTATGCCTAGAGCTATAGACCACACTGTCAACTACTAATCCTTTTATTTTCTAAGACTACTGAGAAAAGCAGTAAGGGATTGGGGTGGGGTAAGATATTATTTAACCAAAGCTTACAGAAGCCACAATTATACAGCTGACATTATAACCAGCCCATCTATCTCAACAAATCGTGGGGAAAGGCCCAGTGATCCAGTGATTTTCTGGGGACATTTGAACTGGAACATTTTCTGGTTCAAATTTAGATAATTTAAGTATTTAAATAGTGTTAGCAAAATAAAGTAAATAGACAATGTTCAAACACTGGGATTTGCCCATGCTTTCTATCCCACATTTAGACTAAGCAAGACTGATTTGCCACACAAAAGCCCTGACAACTACAGATAAACAGATTATATTTACATAGTCAGGATGGAAAAGTTTCCATGGAAAAATATAGCAATAGAATATTTTCAAGAAAAATTTCTGCCCACACCTATGTTGCGCTGACTGAGACTGGGCAGGTCTTTGAAATGTATATTGCAAAATAATAGCTCCTCGTTGTACATGTACATGTTACTCAAGTACACCCACATAGCCTCTCTGCTGTCCTACACAGACCAGGACCGCAAGATAATCAAGAAACTGATCCTGAGAAAGCTTGATGCCAACAAAAGCTTAGCTTTGCAACACCAGCTGAAAAGAACCTATTAGTTCTTGCTTCCTTCACCTATGAACCAGAAGCCTCCTAAAGACTGCAGAAACACAAAAATCAGAGGGCCTATTCAAACCCTTCTGAAAGTGGGTAAACTTTGCACAGTAGGACAGCACAATCACATCCACCCGGCATTCCTTCATTGCCATTAAATGAACACAATTTCTCATTGATCACTAAAGCCAAGATAAAACACACACACACAATTAAGGCTTGTGCATTACAGGGCGGAAACAAGTGAGACAATAAACACCAGGGCAGTGCTTATATGTAGCTACATGTACATCCCTTGCACATCCATTAGCAAGCTGAAGGCTTCCTTAATCAGTTGCTTAAAGAAATGATCAAATCAACACAAAAGAACCGAGGGCTGGCCCCTCCCAGTGCTGCCACCAATTAATGTCATTGTGTAGGTGCAGCGGGGATGGCAAACGCTGTACACAGTGGCAAAACATGCCAATGTTTAAGGCAGGCAGGCCCAAGCCCAGGGCACATGGCATAATCAACATTCCCAAAGCAGTGACTAGGCCCACAGACCACAGTTTCAGCATAAAGCAAAACTACCAGAAGTGGTACAAAGCCACTCCTATACAAACCTATTAACAACAGTTTCCAGGAAGTTATAACTGTTGTTAGAGTTCCCATGAGTATGCCACGCAGGGCTACAGACATTTCAAATGCTGTAAAATCCTGCTACTTGTATAAATTCCTAGATACCATCAAATGCTACTTCCTCCTTAACTGCATGATTACTGACACCTGTGGAAACAAGACTAGCAGACAGAAGACACCACATATGGATCCTTAAGAAAAACTGCAATGAAATTCATCCCTGGAGACTATTTGCATATAATCAGGGAGATTCTCTACACCAGGTATCCCCAACATGGCACCCATCAACTGTTGTTAAAAATTGCCAGGTAGGGGTATTAGCCACTGAAGATTTGATTGGCTGGGCAGATTTTTAAAAACACTGTTTTGGCAGCAGCTGCCACTACAACACAAGGATTTTCCTGGTATGACTGAAGGTAAGCTATGGCAACCATTTTGTGACTGTGTCCACCACACTATCTCAGGATTCCAAAGGTGCCCACTCACTTAAAAGGCTTGGCATCCCCTGCTTTACACCACCATGTTGCTTTAGGTATAGGAATCCATGGGCTGGACTCTCTCTTTGTTAAAAATACTCACCCAAAGAGGCAACTTCCAAAAGCACTAAGCCCCTACAACCCAAGCTGAGTGTTTCACATATTCAGAAGTCTCAGACACCCGCATAAAAGAATTAATAGCACAAGAAATATAACTACTCCTGGGAGAAGAAAGAACAACCCCTGTGCATCAAGTAGGAAGATTTAAAACAGAGAACAAAAAGCAGCAATCAAAAAGGAAAGGGGGTGGGGAGAAAGAGGGAAGCCAAGGCAGAACAAATTAGGAGCATCAAGATGAAGCGCTTACCCAGGTCACTAGGTGTCTAGCTCATCTGGCTTTTGCATTAAATGCTAGCTAAGAGTGTACTAATTTTAACTTTCCAGGTTACAGGTACTTCTCACTACTCCCTCAAAATCATAGAACACTTGCCCCCAAAATGTTCATCTGTCTCTGTCTATCACTGTCTTCCACCAGTGGACAAAGTTGTGTGTGTGTTTTTTTTAATCTGGTGTTCACTCAATGACCCCTTCTTCCTGCATATTATTCTTTAATTACTGCTCCTGTGATTTATACATGTATTTGAGTTTTGGTTTTAACTGAATCTACTTTTATAATGTTTTGTTCTAATTGTTAGCCATCATGCTGCCCGCAAATGGGCAGAATATATATTTTTAAATAATTAATAAATACTTACAAAAATGGTCTTTCCAAGAGACATATGACCTCAACTTATTTCCAACACTATCAATATGTCCTTTAGACCAAGCAGAGCCATACTAGAGGGAAAAAGTCAGGAACTGCAAGGCAGTGTGTGTATACGGGGTAAATAAAGGCAAAATAAGTGCTCCGGGGTCAGCCATTTGTAACTAATTTGTTAGCAAACTTAGTAGGTCAGGGGTCCAAATGAAACTGGCAGAAGGCCCTTGACCATGAATAGGCCATGACTGAATTTTCCAGCAAGGCAGCAGCAAAAAGGCTACTAAACAGTATCTAAAGAGAGACCAGAAAACACGAGATGACAAATGAAGCTGGGAATCTCCAACCTGAATGGAGCTGCTATTGTATAGTGCATGCTAATAATAATGAATAATTATCCTATGGCAATATATGTAGAATAGCCAGGAGATCTGAGGATTGTCTGGCAGACTTAAGTTTGAGCCCTTTAGCGTTATGCACCACTAAAGTGGTGAGCTAGAGTTATTTTTTTGGGCTGTGAGAGCTCCGAAAGAGCTGTGACTGACCCAAGGTCACCCAGCTAGCTTGGTGGTCTCCCATCCAAATAATAACCAGAGCCAACCCTGCTTAACTTTTGAGATCTGACAAGATCAGGCTAGCCTACTTAAGGGAAACCAAAGAGCAAAAGAGAGAAGTAGAGGGAAGCACCCATTTTCTCAGCTACATTTCCACCAACTAAACCAGCTTAGTTCAGCTGCTTCGGTCACTTGCTATAAAAAGGAACCAGAATACCCAGGATGCAACTTTCCCCTAAATACCAACTTAAGCTGAGGGAATGTCACACTACATGGAAGCGGCCCTTTCCCCATAGGCAAAGGAACTTCCGTATCTTGACCATAAGGACACAAAGACATGTGGGGTCAGCCCAGGTGGCTCCCAAAGCACACCATTATACGACCCCAAACTGCCATTCCAAGCCAGACCCAATAACGGGGGGGGGGGGACGGGGGGGGCATACAGCATTCTCA